GTTTCCACAACTTACATTGGTCCATCCCAAGGTATTTGAGGTGTTTCCCGGGCCTTTTCGTGACTGTTACACGATTTTGGCCCACAAAGGCCTATTTTCAAGCTTAAGTGTGAAAAAAGTGCATTTTTCGACTTAGTGTTCAAACCGGGAGTCTCGTGCTAGTTCTGTAAGTTTCCACAACTAGCATTGACCCCTCTTAAGGTGTTTGAGGTGTTCCGTAGGCCTTCTCGTGACTGTTAGACCCATTTTGGCCGCCGATGGCCTATTTTAAAGATTAGGTGTGAAAAAAATGTATTTTTTAGCTTAGTTTTCAAACCGGGAATCTCATGCATGTTCTGTAAGTTTCTACAACTTACATTGTCCTGATGGCCTATTTTCAAGCTTAAGTGTGAGAAATTTGCCTTTTTGTACTTAGTTTTCAAACCGGGAGTCCCGTACTAGTTCCGTTTACATTGGTCCTTCTGGAGGTGTTTGAGGTGTTCCCCATACCTTCTCGTGACTGTTACACGATTTTGGCCCCCGATGGCCTATTTCCAACCGTAAGTGTGAAAAAAATGCATTTTTCGACTTAGATTTCAAACAGGGAACCCCGTGCTAATTCCGCAAGTTTCCCTACTGACATTGTGTTAAAATTCAATGTATAAAGAGAGAAATACAGAGAATAATGTATCTATTGATGTATTATTGATTGTTGTATGAATATGTTTACAATGATTCCTATATATAGAAGAGTAGAGTAGGTAGGTAGGTAGTAGGTGGAGTAGATGGTAGTAGGTGGTAGTGGTAGGTGTGTAGTAGGTGGAGTAGGTGGTAGTAGGTGGTAGTGGTAGGTTTTAACAGCCCCCCGCAAACTCAAGGGGGATAGGAACTAACCAACTTGAGTTTGGAGAGAGTAACAAAACAAGAAAATAGACTAATACATAAAATAAAAGAGGATAGTAGACACTGTATGGTCGTGTCAGACCGTTGTAGCAGATAATGTCTAGACAGTTGACGAGGTCACACCGGACCGATGGAGAAGCTAACCAGAATCAATGTCGGGACAGTTTATGGGGTCATGCCGGACCGTTGGAAAAGCTAACCGGAATCAATGTCGGGACAGTTGAGGGGGTCATGTCGGACCGTTGTAAAAGCTAACCGGAATCAATGTCGGGACCGTTTATGGGGTCATGTCGGACCGATGGAAAAGCTAACCGGAATCAAATGTCGGGACAGTTTAGGGGGTCATGCCGGACCGTTGGAAAAGCTAACCGGAATCAATGTCAGGACAGTTTATGGGGTCATGCCAGACCGTTGTAAAAAGTCCCACCCTCAAAAGGTGTGCCCAATCTGTTAAAAGGCGTGCCATCAAAAGGCGTGCCCAATCCATAAAAAGGTGTGCCGGACATTATGGCGATGCGCGTGACTACCTTGGCTTGCGCGCCCATGTTGTCGTCTAACGCCGAGCGGCGCACGATGCGCGTGTCTGCCTTGGCTATTTAACCAAGACGGAGGCTGAGGCTGAGGCTGAGGCTGAGGCTAAGACAAAAACTTGCGAAAAACTTCTGAAAAACTCTTTGTTTTCTGAGAGAGATACTCTGTAACACTCGGTTGCCCAGAAAATGGCCTCTTCTTCCCGTAGTCTGCTCACGCTCTTTCTAGACCTCAACGAGTCCACAAGAGAAATAACTGGTGCGGTGGCCCTTGAACCTCAACCAAGCGCCCTTGGTTTTGCTCCGTTGAACTTTCCGATGCAGTCTGTGGAGCAAAAACTGGCAGTGCAATCGGATATTGAGGCCAATCAGTATACATTGAAGTCATGTGTGGAGACCATGACTGCAGTCACAAACTTGTCGCACCGGCTTCAGAGTAGGACAAATGAGGTGCAGCAGTTAAACGCCCAACTGGCTCTGCTCCAACGCATGTATAAGGATGCGCGAGCAGAGATAAGTGTGCTAAAGGCGGAAAATAAGGAGCTGAAGCGGAAGGCCACCGTTATGTTCCGATTTGGAGGGCCGCCATATGCTGTAGTAGAGGAGCAAGGGGGAGTGAACGTGCTCGGCGGCGTGGGAAACACGGAGGCAGCACCGTCAAGGGCCGCCCAGGACGGAGGCAAGAAGAAAAGACCGGCGGCAAAGTAGAGAAGAAAAATCCCGCCCGTGGATGTGGTTGTTTGGGTTTTTTTTTTTTTTTTTTTTTTTGTTTGGTGTAAAATTGTGATCGGGGTTGATCCCGTCATGAAAAAAAACGACAAGTTTGTGGACTGAAAACCGAGTTGGTTGTGAATGGGTGAATAATGGAATATATATAAATATATATATATATAATATCAACTAGCTAGTGACATACCTCATCACAAAACACGTCCCACCTCTGCACTATACACACGTTTACCAACAGCTGCTCAAGCACTAACCCACAATACACGGCAAAAACCATGTGCTGGTGCACAAAAAGGCAGATAGTGGGTCAAAGATTTGATGTTTCAATTTGTCAGAAAGGCAGATAGTGGGTCAAAGATTGTTGGTTCTGTGAAGGCTGATTCTGTTGAAAGTGGTGATAAAACCAGTAACATGAACATTTTACCTCAGGAGAACAGTGCCCATCCTTCTCTTTCTTGCAATGCAGTGGTATGTTCTGGTTATGAACCATCTAACTACCAGCACATGTATCATGACATGTACATGAAAGTGAACGGTAATGTTTTTAAGAAGAAGAGAGTTCTAATGGAGAGTATCCACAAGTCGAAGGCCGAGAAAGCTAGAGAGAAGACTTTGTTTGACCAATTTGAGGCTAAGCGTGCAAAGAGTAAGGCGAGCAGAGAACGAAAGATAGCTAGGAGAGAGGAACGTTTAGCCCAGGGACCAGTAGAGAAAGCACCACCTCCCGCAGCATCTGCACCCGCAGCTCAACCCACTCAGGCATCCAAGAAATCCAAGAAATGAGATCCGCAATGATGGGAGGATTGATCACTTCACATCTTCTCTGTGTTTTGGGTTGCTGAGTGAGTCAAGGACAGCGACTCGAAGGAGTTGGGCGTGAAGGTGGTGGACTCGAAGAAATTTCAAGGTATGTGTAGAAAATTCTAGCGGACTAGGTTGAGGTCCGGCGGGCGGCCAAGGCGAGGTTGCCGCTCGCCGGTGAAGCGAAAAATACTACGTTCTTAACCTTGCTTTGATACCATGTTAAAATTCAATGTATAAAGAGAGAAATACAGAGAATAATGTATCTATTGATGTATTATTGATTGTTGTATGAATATGTTTACAATGATTCCTATATATAGAAGAGTAGAGTAGGTAGGTAGGTAGTAGGTGGAGTAGGTGGTAGTAGGTGGTAGTGGTAGGTGTGTAGTAGGTGGTAGTAGGTGGTAGTGGTAGGTTTTAACACATTGGTCCCTCCCAAGGAGATTGAGGTGTTCCCTGGGCCTTCTCGTGACTGTTATACGATTTTGAACATCGACGGCCTATTTTCAAGCTTAAATGCAGAAAAAGTGAATTTTTTGACTTACTTTTAAAACCAGGAGTCCCATGCTAGTTCCGTATTTTCAATAACTTACGTTGTTCTCTCCCAAGGTGTTTGAGGTGTAGCCCGGCCTTCCCATGATTGTTACACGATTTTGGCACACCAAGGCCTATTTTCATGCTAACGCTTGAAAAAAGTGTCATTTTTTACTTAGTTTTCAAACCGGAAGTCCCGTGCCAGTTCCGTAAGTTTCCACAACTTACATTGGTCCCTCCCGAGGTGTTTGAGGTGTTCCCTGAGCCTTCTCGTGACTGTTACACGTTTTGCCCCCAATGGCCTATTTTCAAACTCAAGTGTGAAAAAATTATCTTTTTCGACTTAGTTTTCAAATCGGGAGTCCCGTGCTAGTTCCATAAGTTTCCACAACTTACATTGGTCTCTCCCAAGGTATTTGAGGTATTCCTCGATCCTTCTCGTGACTGTTGCATGATTTTGGCCCCCGATGGCCTATTTTCAAACTTAAATGTGAAAAAAGTGACTTTTTCGACTTAGTTTTCAAACCGGAAGTCCCGTGCTAGTTCCGTAAGTTTTCAAAACTTATGTTGGTCCCTCTCGAGGTGTTGGTGGCGTTTCCCAGGCATTCTCATGATTATTACACAATTTTGGCCCCCGATGGCCTATTCTCAAGCATAAATGTGAAAAAAGTGAATTTTTTGACTTAGTTTTCAAACTAGGAGTCCTGTACTAGTTCCGTAAGTTTCCACAACTTGCGTTAGTCCCTCCTAAGGTGTTGGAGGTATTCCTTGGTCCTTCTCGTGACTGTTACACGATTTTGGCCTCCAATGGCTTATTTTCAAGCTTAAGTGATTGAAAAGTGCATTTTTTGACATAGTTTTCAAACCGGGAGTCCCGAGTTAGTTCCGTAAGTTTCCACAACTTACATTGGTCCCGCCCGAGGTGTTTGAGGTGTTCCCCGGGACTTCTCGTGACCGTTACACGATTTGAGCCCCTGATGGACTATTTTAAAGCTTAAGTGTGAAAAAAGTGCCTTTTTCGACTTCAATTCATGAATTCGGAATTAAACACATACCTAAAGTCTTCAAGAACACTAATTCTAGCAATTTCTTAAGGTGTCTTCCTCAATTCTTCAATTCTCAAGCAAAATTCCAAGCTTCCAAGCTCTTCTCTCTAAAATTGAGTTTCCAAGCTTAATTGCCTAAATGAGATTAATTAACATTTCTCATAGATTAGCTTAGGGCCTTAATTAGGGATCAAGTTAGTTAAATAGAGCTTAAGACTAATTAATCAAGGCTTAATTTAATTGATTTAATCTGAATCAAATTTTAATCAAACTTCTGACGTCATTAAGGCCTTCAATTTCATATTATAACCGAAATCACAACAGATATTCCTACGGTTAACAGATATGAACCTAAAAATCATATTAAACACATAATAAGCATTCAAATTCACACAAAGCACTTAAATAACATTCAAAACCGATGATTAACAGGGTTGTCACAAGATCAATATTGCTTACCAACAACAAAATGTTCACTGGATTTTATAATTCAGAATGGGAAAAGTGAATAATCAAATTAAAGTCACACACAGCTCCATAAAAGACAACTTTGAGGGCAGAACTTAATTTATATGACACAAAATACAACAATTATTTCGTTGTGGTGATAAAAATACCTATACAAGAATAGTAAATATAAGTTGGATGCTAGAAGCGCACAAGGACCAAGCTTTCCTTCCACCACCCGCCAGGTCAGATAAAAATTTCCACAGCAAAATGTTTACTGGATTTTATAAATCATAATGGGAAAATTGGATTACCAATTTAAATCACACAGCTCCATAAAAGACAACTTTGAGGGCAGAACTTAATTTATATGACACAAAATACAACAATTATTTTGCTGTGGTGATAAAATACATATACAAGAATAAGTAAATATAAGTTAGACGCTAGTAGTGCACAAGGGCCAAACCTTCCTTCCCAACACCCCAGGTTCAGATAAAAATTTCCACAGTGTGAAATAGCATGGTCTTAGCAATATCATTTGTCAAGCGCTTGTGCCAGTTGTAATGCATCTCCAAGAAGACCTTTGAAGCCATGTCAAATGTTTTACGCCATGTCTACATGAAAAGAAATAAATAAATAAATAAATAAATAAAAACTAATAATAGTAATCAATAACATGAAGAAATAAGTAGAGGCAATTCACAGTTAAACATTAAGTTGACATTGAACTGCTACAGTTCACAATAATTTAATGAATCTCAAGGTGTAAATAGAAACTATTCCAATAGTTGATGAAATCATGATAGTGATGGAGTGGCGGCAGTGATGGCGTACCACAACCAATCCTGCTATCTAATGTAATGACAGTCACATGCTGGTGCAATCATCATGACAATGATAATGATACAAATCAAAAGAAAACCTGTACTTTCAAAATTTCAATCTCTTTTAACTATAAGTAAAATGAATTTTACCTAACCAAAAAAGTAAAATGAATTTTCTGTCTGATTTCTAATCTCATCCTTCCCAAAACACTTGATGTAGTAGGTATGTGCTTTAGGTCTTATCAATTTTGATACTTTAGGATTAAAGTCTTGTGAGTGTATACAGCCTTTCGTTTGCATGCTGACCAACACGTAGGTTCAGTTTTTCCTAAAGGAAGTCTTTATTATTAACTCCATTCTTACATTGTGCTAATCTAACATGTATCGCCCTTAATACCAGCGAAAGTTTCCTGCAGTTGAAATGCAAAATGTCATGCTTTTTGGTAACTATACAGTGCCATTCCTAGGGATCAAAATCTACGTATATCCCATGATCTACGTATATCCCAAATTTTAGTTGACTTGTATAAATCTTTCTTAGCCAGGCTTAAAATATAACCCTAATAAGCCCTCATCTATAAACAGGGTTTTATTTCACATCTTTTGGTCAAACGACTATTGCAGTAACATTTCAAATAAAAAATTAATTTGACAATGCTAAAAATTTAGTGATTCAGATAAAGTGCTAATGCTTCACACTTAAAATGTTGTTTGGCACTTGAATAAGGTCTAGAGGAGATTTAGCCCTCAAAATGAAAAAGAATTTGCTTAGGATTGATAACATAACATGACAGAGATTATGAATTGTTCATTTTATTCAATTAAACCAGTACGAATTTTGCTTGATGCCAATCAATTCTGCAATCAATATAATAATCAATTAAACACACAAAAGGATTCCCTTTTTTTTTCCTTCTTCCTGTCGAAAATCAAAACGAACAAAAACCACATGACCCCGTAGCCAACCAATTCACCATTAGTAAGGGGGGAAAAAAAATAGAAACAATCCAACCCTAACCTAGTTCATGTGCCTTAGGTGTTGAATCCTAAAACTTGTTAGCGTGTTTCTTATACCACTGGAAATCGATGATGTTTGTTCCTGAATGGTTGGTAGAGTATCAAGCATCCATGATACTCTGTGAATTCACCACAAATTAAACACGATCCACCATTGACTAGGAAATCACCAAAACAAACTTAAAATGTATTAAAGTGATGTAAAACGCATATTAATCAATTGATAGTGCAAGCGAATATGATACTTCTCTTATTTGACAAATTTATTTTGGTTACAACTAGCTAGTCCATTTTAACTATTCCAAACATCCCAAAAAAATCATCTATGTTTTTTTATTTATTCTTTCTTTCAATTTGTAGGAAAAAAAATACATTATTTATTGACCCTACTAAAAGGCATGAATGCTGAAAATTGACAAACAGTTGGGGATGGAACGAGTATTTATAAATGAGATGACTTGAAGACCAATCACATCCAAAATCCAAGTTAAAACCACCTTAGACTTTGCAAAATCGTTGGCCACTGCTCGAGCCAAGAAAATCCCTAGAGATTGGGTGTCTGCTTCCACTTGAGATCTCAGTTTTTTAACAAATGGAAACAAAGTTGATTGAAAACTCACAATTTTCATACAATGGAAGATTTTTTCTTTCAAGCTTGTCCCTTAGCTATCCTTCAAGTCAAAAGTTTTCCTATAAAAAATTGGATATATTGTGGCTAAGATTTTTCTTTATACTTTTGTTTGGATTTGACTTGCTTTCATATGTATTTTTAGCTTGTCCCTTAGCTATCCTTCAAGTCAAAAGTTTTCCTATAAAAAATTGGATATATTGTGGCTAAGATTTTTCTTTATACTTTTGTTTGGATTTGACTTGCTTTCATATGTATTTTTTCTTCTATGATTTTGCTAAGCAGACACAAAGGAGGAATAAAATGATTGATATTTGCTCCCAATAGGTATTATTTCTTCAATTGTGATTTTGAAGGTTGGAGCTAGTCCTCCTAGGCATTTGTACATCAACTTCTCAGCACACCAAAATCCCATCCAATCAATTTCCATTTGATTCAAATTCTTGTTAGCCCTCCAACACATAGGAGAATATAATGATTGATGTTGGCCCTCCAATACTACTAAATCAATGACAGCCTAAGTTTTCTAATCCAAGATTAAATAGTCTGAGAATTCAACCTGACCAGCCTTAAGACAACCAACTTTATTTTGTTCATGTTGTATCTCAAGGGGGGAATAATGAAGGAGAATTTTCCTCTTCCTGGTAGATAAAATCCAGAACGAGACACAAGGAGAAATCCCGGGCAAAAATTACATAAGAGGGAAAAAGGCCAAACTATACATCAACCCATAAGCTAAATTCTTCCGGCAAATCAATCAAGAAACAAAAGAAAGAGATTCCTAATAGTATTTATCAGAGAGAGAGAGAGAGAGAGAGATTCCTAATAGTAATCCAAAAAAGGGCTCAATATCAAATGTTTCGACTCCAAAATAAAAACTACACCTCCATTAAAGATTCTCCTGAGGTGGAGGCTTTTGAGGGAAATGAATTGAACAGTGTCTTTTCTTTGCCACCTCAGGGTCAGCAATTTCAGGGTGGTGATCATATGTCACTCAACAAGCTTATGACGCGTACAATGAAAACGGATCCAGGCATGGAAAACGGGTGGACGGATTTCGGGCAGTTCACCGGAGATTTCGGGTTTGAGTTCGGGTTCGAGATGAATTATGGCCTCTCCAAGACTACTAGCTACCCGGCAGCAGCGATATCGGAGGGGGCAGTTACGGCTACAGCAGTGACTGAAGCAAAACAGAGAGACTCTTCTGTCTTGCCAGAGAAGATGAGCTTCAAGAAGAGAAAGGCTGACAAGAGCCATAACCTCAAGGTTTGTCTTCTTTTCTTTTGTTTTATAAATTGTGAGCATTTGATTCACTCACAATCAAAATAACAGAATACTTTTTAACAAATTGAAGAAAATATATGTTTGGAAACTAAGAAAATTTGACACATATTCAGGCAGTAGCAGAAGAAGAAGATTGTAAGGAAAAAAGGATCAGAGGATGTACCGAACAGGGAGAGTCGAAGATCACGGAGCAGAACAGCAACAGCGACAACGACAGCAAGAACACCAGCAACAACAATAACAACAAGAGAGAAACATCTGCAGATACTTCCAAGGAGAACTCGAAGGTTTCGGAGGTTCAAAAACCTGATTACATTCACGTTCGTGCACGGCGTGGCCAAGCCACTGACAGCCATAGCTTGGCCGAAAGAGTACGTTCGAGTGTTGCCATTGAACTTATATATGTTTTTAGATCTCTATAGTTGTAGATGGTACTAAATTTGTGCAATATATCTGTGAAATTGTGCATGTGAGGAGAGAAAATTAGTGAGAGAACAAAATATCTGCAAGATTTAGTACCGGGATGTAATAAGATCACGGGAAAGGCTGGTATGCTTGATGAAATCATCAACTATGTTCAATCTCTTCAAAGACAAGTAGAGATAGAAAACATAGTAATCATAAACACTTAATTCAATTGTTGTTCTTAAGAAGGGTAAAGTGATAATCTTCCTATGTTGTTATTGTTGCCAAAACACAGTTCCTATCCATGAAACTGGCTGCTGTAAATCCAACACTCGACTTCAACATCGACAATTTTGTAGTGACAGAGGTAAAGACATCACAAAGTAGAAACATTTCAATGTTAACAATTTTCCAAAACATTTTAATGTAAACATTTCTATAAAACAGGTGTTTTCAGCATGCACATCCAATTTTCCAATCGAGGTATCATCAGAGATCGCTAACCCTGCCTACCTACAGTTTAATCCATTACAACAAGTAGTTTCGTGTAGCGGGTTGGAAATGGGAATAAACGCTCCTGATATGGCACTTCGAAGAACGATCAGCGCCCCCGTATCGAGCCCTGAAACATTTCTCGATTCGTCCTGTTTCAATGTAATTTCTTCTACTACTAATATTTTCCCCCTCCAATCTGAATGTTATACATATATTTTTAAATTTCTCACAAAAGTTTAATTCATTCACACTACAACATATACAATCCTCATCGGCTTGGGAAGCCAATTTACATAACCTTTATGGTGTGGAGTTTCTCCAAGGAAGATCACCATCATTTCAAGCCCAGCAATTTACAGGTATATAGAACTAACAAGTATTGTCAAATGTCAATCTTCAATTCCTGTTTCTAATAATTGTATAAGAAAGAAGTAGGGCTACAATCGAGCCTAATTGAACCAAGTTTTGTGATGTTCGAGCTTGGCTAGCTAAAAATTAGTCAAACTTGGCTCGAGCCAACGAGCCAAGCAAGAGCTTGAGTTCAAACTTGAAAAGAAAAATGGAACCTAAATTAATATTGTTCATTTAGTGGAGGAGCCTAAAAAAATAGCTTGAGCTTCAAAAGAGTTTTAAACGAACCAAGTTCAAGCTATTCATGAACAACTTAGTTGGTTTGGAGCCCTACAAAGGAAGTAAGAAAAATGGAGCAAAGTGGAACTTACTATGTATGAGAGAGACCATAGGGAACCCCACAAAATGTTAATGATTTTTCTCAAGAATAAATGGGTCTTCTTTGAGTTATATCAAGAAAGCTGCCTATTAGGTATCTTTCTTTTTCTTTGTCTTCCACCTAAAAGGACCGAAGTCATCGGACCCTTTCGATGACCATAAATTCCCAAAACCCTGACAAAATGAGTGGCGCATTTTGGCTATTGATGGACACAAAATGGCCATCTATATATCACCAATCCACTATTAAATAGTGCAACATACATTATCAAGACTTTTGCCCCAAAAAAAAAAAAAAGTCAAATTCTACACCCACAAAATCACACGGTTGTGATCATTTGATCGCATTGATTAACTTAAGATATGACAATATCACAGGCGTTGGATTCTCACTGTATGCATCTTATGCTATCCACATCCATATATATTCTTATGCAGTTTCTCTAACCCATACATGACTATAAATAACATTTGCTCTTTTTTGGTGTTGAATCTAAAGAAACATGACTCTTTCATTTGCAGGCTCCAATGAAGCTAGCAATCTGAAGATGGATATCTGAATCAAAACATAAATCATATGATTTGTTGGATGAGTTCAATCCAAATGCCTTTCTTCCTCATTCGTTTTTTGTTTTCTATAGCTAGTACATAACGTGGATAGTTGTATGTATACCATCTCCGTAGAAATAAGTATTATAATGAGAAGATACCTATTAACCTCCTCAACATTCTCTAGCGTGTGATGTACTATGGGTGTACTTTAGGTTTCAATCGCGATTGATTTTTTATTTTCTCCCTATGATTCTTCTGATCACCATTTGGACCATTCTGTTCTCATCAAAGTTACTACCATATATCAATTGAATAACAAAACAATACAAAACTACACTAGAAAAATAAAAGTTGTGCAATTGGGAAATGGAAGAATTGTAACGTGAAGATCAAGGGGCACAAATTGTCCTTACAATGAATGAAACCCAAAGGACAATGTTAAGGCATTCCCGTGACGGATAGAGAACATGAGCCAACCAGTGGACCAGAGCGGTTTCTTTTGGGACAGAATGAGATGTGTCTGAATAAGACGCTGATAATTGGAGACAGTGAAAGAGAGCATATATAAGGGGGAATAAATAAAGCCAAAACACACACTCTCTCTCTCTCCAGGAAAATCACATCCAATCCTGTCCACTAGGAAGGTTTCCATGTCCCCAGTATTTACAGTATCTAACTAGCTAACTGCATCATCAACATCAATATGTTTCCATATTACATTTTTTATATGTGCTGTGTAACAACAAAAGCAGCTATTAAATATCTTCAAACGATTTAAGAACATATTTGTAGCGTTAAGGGTGGAGTCAGAGAAAATATCAAGGTTAGTCATTCGGTTCCTTAGGTTTCGCATTAGGCTAATAAGGGAAGTTGTTTCACCTTAAAAACCATGTTAATTAGGATGAGTAAAGAGGTTTTACGGCACTCAATAACAATAGAGATCATGCCATACCTAATATTAGGATGATTTGAGATATAGATATATATCTAATGATGGTGTAGAAGTGAACTTAGTAACCCAGATGAAGATCCAGTGAATTATTAGCTTTTTCAATTCCAATATTCTTCTGTCATTGTTACTTCGTATGTAGACTCAGACAAGTATTTATAAAAATGTTGTTAGATGGATATAGTAAAAACTATAAAGTTTCAGTCACATTATACCGGTGACAAGGAAGAATGTTTCACAATTTTAGAGCATTATTTTCTAAGCCAACTAAGAAACACCAGCTCCCTCTCTTCCTAAAACCATAGTTGCATGAAGTGGGAGAGGGGAGACCAGGTAGCGACAGCCCTATAGAAGAGTTTTAAGGTTGGGAGTGGGGCCGGGAGTGAACCCCAATAGGAGTTTCCTGCTACAAAGTGAACAATTGAATCGAAACCAATTAAATCATATTATTATTTTCACATATAAATTACATAACTAGACTAGGCTTCACAGCCAAAAAGATCACCCCAATGTCACAATCAATCTTAATACATAAATATAACTGCCACGGTTTTCTTCTTCTTTTTTTTTTCTTCCTAATTCCGGAATAACTAGTAATATCACAAGGGGTTTTATTTTTTCCATTCGCAGACAGTCTCTATTCCATATCTGAATAACCAGTAATATCACAAGGGGTTATATTTTTTCCATTCTCAGACAATCTCTCTCTATCTCTCTCTCTCTCTCTCTCTCTCTCTCT